AGTGTGCCCGTGGCAGCCAGTGATACAGGGATTAACCTGTCGGGGTGTGTGCGTGCACACGAGTGTGCCTGTGGCAGCCAGTGATACAGGGATTAACCTATCGGGGCGTGTGCGTGCCCATGAAGGTGCAGGCCTGCGTGTGTACACAGGCCACGCAGCCGTCTGCCACGAGGAACTTACACACAATAAGTTTTGTCACTGAAGCAATGAATACATGGGTTATTGACCCAAACAGTTACTTTTACTTGCCTTTCTGTTTTCTCTCTCTCTAGGCTTGCGGCTCCAGTTGAAAATGCATCTGTTCAGCCTCAGGGCTGTATTTGGGTGGGCAGGTAGGAGGCTCTCTGAGCTTGCTTCTAATAATCTGCTGGGTCAAAAGGTATAATTGGATATGACAGTTAATTTTCAGAGTCAACCTGACTGGGCTAGGGGGTCCCTGGGGCAGCTGGTAAGCATGGCTTCTGGGTGTGTCTGGGAGGAGCTGAGGCTGAGTAAAGATCTGCTGTCTCCAATGTAGGCAGGCGTCAGCCAGCCTGCTGAGAGCCTGAACTGAACACAAAGGGGGAAGAAGTGGGGATTCTCTTTTCTCAGATTGAGCGGGGAGGCCCATCTTTTCCTGTTGTCCCACACTGGTGCTCCTGGTTCTTGGGCCTTTGGACTGAGACTGAACAACAGCCCTGGCTTTCCTGGTCTCCAACTTGCAGACGGCAGATCGTGGGACTTCTCAGCCTCCATCCTGTGAGGCAGTTCCCGGAATAAACCTCCTCTTATCTATTTATGTCTATCCTATTCGTTCTGTTCCTCTGGAGCACCCTGACTGATACACTGGATGACCACCGCAGCTTCTGTGCGGCCTGCCCAGTGGCCAGCAGGTGACACAGTGACACCGTGGGGTGTGATGTGGCATCTGAGAGGCCACCTCAGTCGCTGCTCCTCAAAGCTGGAGAATTGACCAGAGGGTCCCTCTCTCTCCGCCTTTGCCCCGTGGAATGAGATAGGGGATGGGCTGGCTAATTGGGAGAGGGGGTATCCTCATTTAAAGTCTTGAGATTTAATAAACAAAACTGAAGATGTTTTTTAACACTCAAGGTCATTGGTGCTTGTGGGAGTTTAAAGAGCAAGAAGGGAATTTTCCTCATCTCTGTCGTCCTTTTTATTTTTGGTGCAGGCAGTGTAGCAATTTGCCAATACCTGATATGGACCTTTCAGAAGGTCATGGGGCTCAGGGGTTTTCAGTATTTGCTTGAAATTGTTGAAATTGTCTGAATGGTTATAGCAATCGTATGGAAGTGTTATGCTCTGAGGAAGGTGGGGAGCAGCTGTGCTTTTGGGCACAGGGCAGGAAGAAACAGGCTCCAAGGACAGTAGCAAAGTGTGAGGCAGGTGGATAGCTGTGGAGTCGCGGGTGGGGGCTGAATGCCAGGCCCCCTCTTCACCTTTCTGAGTGGAGCTGGCTGAACACAGGGCCATGACTAGGGTCTTTCTGAAGGCTTGCCTTTCTTGAGGGTGTAATTTTATGAAATAAAATAATTTTAATCAGCTAACTGTTCATTTATTGCTTTTAAATTTGTGACCTTCAGAGCTGAGATAATAAAACCTAAGAGTGACCCTTCATCCTTAGCAGCACTGTATCTTCTAAAACTTAACACTGATACTAAAATATGTGGCTTCTAATTCTGCCCAGATCCAAGTGGCTTTGAATAATTACCACTGTCAGTGTTTGTCATCTCTCAACTGGGGATAATGGTACCAAACCTGTTTCTCTTGCATGCATTATGAGAACCAAAAGATAATATATATATAATGTGGTGAAAAATCTTCAGTGCATTGCCAGCCTGGACCAAGAGATTTATTACTAGGCACATAAAAGAGTAGGCATACAGAGGTCTACAGAGCTCACCTGGGCCAGGTGCGGTGGCTCATACCTGTAATCCTAATACTTTGGGAGGCTCAAGTGGGCAGATCACTTGACGTAAGGAGTTCAAGACCAACCTGACCAATATGGTGAAACTCCATCTCTATTAAAAATAAAAAAATTAGGCGAGTGTTGTGGTGGGCACCTGTAATTCCAGCTGTCTGTGAGGCCAAGGCAGGAGAATCACCTCAGCCCGAGAGGAAGAGGTTGCAGTGTGTTGAGACTGTGCCACTGCATTCCAGCCTAGGTGACACAGTGAGACCCTGTCTCAAAACAAAAACAAAAACAAACAAAAACAAAAACAAAAACAGAAAAAAAGCTCACCTGTCTTTTTTATTTTTTGCATTATGGACTTTCTGTTTGTGAGTCTTAGTAAATATATGACAACTCAGGTAAAGTCAGGGCAAGAGTCAAATTTTACACAATAACTTGAAAGCACTGTCTAGGAATTTGTCTCCTAATAATATAAGACTATTAGAGTCTTCTGTTTATGTTGATTTGCTGGAGTAGAGTTGCCAGATAAAATATAGGATGCTTAGTTACATTTGAATTTCAGATCAACAACAATTATTTTTTTAGTATGAGTATGTCCAGTATTTGAGACATACCAAAAAAAGTGCTTGTTATTGATCTGAAATTCAAATATAACTGGGTGTCTTGATTTTTATTTGCTAAATCTGGCCACCCTGTACTGGAGGTCCTTATAGCAGGCACCTGAGAGAGAAATCCCATTCTCACATAAACTGTCTTTTAATCTTTTTTTCATCTTTTTTTTTTTAAACAGAAATTGTAATCAATGAATTTATGTTGGCATGTCTGGTAATTTTTTTGTGTCTCTCTTCTTTATTTGCAAAATGGAGACACTATTACCTTACTTAGTTGTCCTCAGTCTTGATTGCACATTGAAATCCCAAGGGGACCATTTACAGCTTCTGATGCCCAAGCACCAGAGTCCAAATACATGAGAATCTTGGGTAGAACCCAGGAGCGTTTTATTTTACAGCTCCTCCAGATGATTCTCAGGCGTGCAAGGCTGAGCCAGTGGTCTCCCTGGTGACGCCGTGGGGTTACGTGATGTAGCATCTGTGAAGCACTTCATGGACTAATGGGCATGCAGTTAGAACACAGCAAATGGCCCATGTCTGGTACTGGAAAGAGGGTCTGCAGAGTAGGAGAGGAAGAGGAAGAGGAAGGAGAAAGACCCTAGGTGGGTGGCAGGCTCAGCAATGCCCCAGGCAGCAGTTTCAGGTGGATCCAATGGATGTGTGTGGCTGCAACACAACTGGGGGTAGGAGGGGCAAGAAATGTGGGCAAGGAGGGCAGAGCCAGACATGGAGGCTTCGAGCGTGGACTTCATCTTGTAGGTGATCGGGAGCTGTGGGACAGGATCAGCATGCTTGAAGGAAAGCATTTTCGAGGGGAAGCCCGGGCAGGGACACCTCCTTACACTGTGGAGAAGTCCCATGTCTTGTGGGCTGATGTGGATCATGTGGGTTTTGTGGAACATACAGTCCCCAGGTTTGGAATCTTGTCTTGTTCCGTGTTGTACCGTTAGTGCTAGAACTGTGCCTGACACACAGTAGGCACTTGACGGAGGGTATTGATTGAGAGAATAGATGAAGGACAAAAGACCCAAACAAAGGAGAAGCTCAGCAGAGGCAGCATGGGACTGCAGGGCCAGCACTGCCATGAAAGCAGAAGCCCACTCCCAGCCCTGCACTGACTAGCTGGTGCCCCTGGACAAGCCATGTCCCTTCTTGGCCTCTGTTTCTGTCACTTGAATAGAGGGCAGAGTCCTTCTAGCTCCAATGCCCACCAATAATTAAGTGTTTCTGATTCTGAACGAGCTCATGACCTTCGTACTGAAGCTGTAGGCCCTAGGTGGAAATGCCAGCGGAAACCTCCGTGTTCCCCTGTGTTCTGGAAGCCGGATCCCAGGAGGCAGAGCTGTGGCAGCTCATCCCGGCTACTAGGGAGACCCAGGCTTGGAGGGAAGGCAGCTTGCCCCTGAGGCAGGTGACCTTATTAGCAGTGGTCGGACCAGATCCCCCTGTGTCATTTTCAAGGTTGTAGGTCCAAGTGCTGTGATGGTGAGTGTGAGGTCCTCCCAGGCAGGGAAGGGGCACTGGCCAGGGCGGGGAAGTCTGGCTCCTAGTCTCAGCTGCTGTGCCTCCCTCTGGGCAAGCCATGTAATCTTTTGCGTGTTAGTTTCCTTAGTTGTAAAACGAGGAATTTATATTAAGTTAACTCTAACAGAGCATTTTCGGTTTTCAACTCCTATGATTTTGCAGCGCGTTCTCGGGTTTCTTTTATCTTTATCTTCGTGTATCTTTGTTTCTAAAAGATCCAGGCCTCGATGACACCTTTTCCTCCCTAGTACTTTCAGCCCATGAGAGAATCTAAAAGCTGACTCTGCACCTCCGGGTGCTGCCGAGCCTTTTGCACAGAAAGAAGAGAAAGCTGGATTTTTTTTTTCTTTTGCTTCTTCGTTAACGGATATTTTTAGCTTTTCTAAAAGCTTCTCATTCTGAGCCTTAAAAAGAATAAGAACCTGTTCCAAAAATGCAAATTCTCTGGCAAGAAGCAGGAGGGGTGTTTTCAATCTTCCCTGAACGATTGTTTTCTCTCCCACAGACAGACATTCATCCTGCAGCGGGGGGCCAGCTGGGGTATGGAGGGGGCGGAAGGGCGAGGCTTCGGCCAGGGAGAGCCAGACCCCAGGGTGCCGGCCTGGACTAGGACCATGCGCTGGGGGCTTACTTTCCACAATCAGGCACTTTTTCAAGTTGGTCCTGAAGAGTTCTGGACTGGATGGCCGTTTGCTGCATGTGGTTGAGAATGTTGCCCATCTGACCGAGCCCTGAGATGAGCTGAGGGTTCCTCCTCCCCAGCCAACCCCAGCCTCACGCAGCCCTTGCAAATCCGAAAGTGCTGTCGGTAGTACCCAGGGGTGGGCAGAGGCAGCCCTGTGCGGAGGGTAACATGAAAGTGAGAGCAAATTGAAGCTCTGCTTGGCTTGGTCTTCAGAAATGTCACTTTCAGATTATACCCCTCAGCTTTAAAGTGTCCTTCTTTGAAGTCCATCTTGCTCAGCCCACATTTGCCCCCTGTGGTCACTTCCTCCCCTGTGCTCCTGTAGCATGGAGTTCATACCAGAAAGAACACCATGAAGAAGGCATGGTGAGTCGTATCCACGTCTGCTTCCGTTGGGTTGGGAAGTGGAGAGAGAAGTGCCGCCTGTGATTGTCACCTCGCCCAGCACCTTGCAGCAGTCTCGCAATCACTTCTCAGTGACATTTTTTATTCCCTAGCATCTAGCTCATAGTAGATGCTCACTAATGCACTAATGCTGGATTGCCAGATCTAAGATTTTTCATGTGTATCTTTCAGAACTAATTCGAAGTTTGCTTATATTCTGAAGTAATAATCTGTCTTAAAATCTCTTTGAATAACAACACAATTTAGTTTTCTTTAGGTTAAATTCAGGGAATATTGTGAATGTGGCCTTTAAAAGGAGATCTCTGATATACTGAGGCTTGCAATTATTTTGCAGAAAGTGCTTATACTGGCATCTTGATCTGAAAATGATGGATACCATCCTCTGTCCCTTACACACTCAGCTCTGTTTCTCAAATATTAGTGATGGAGATGGGAGAGAGTCTGGGTGTGTGCTGGGGAGGCAGGGCAGGCAGCAAGGCAACGTGGCCACTTTCAGATTCCTCAGTCTCTGCTTTTTATAAGTATAGCTCAGCTTCCCTGTAACTGAAAGCAGAGAATGATCCTGGTTCTTAAACTGGGGCTTTAGGAGACAGTTTTATCTGTGCATAGTTGTTTCTAAACATTAGAATAAAGCCAAGTGGGATAAGTACGTTTTACACTCACTATAGGAAAATGCTGATGTGTAGACATGGAATCTGAATTCACAACCACGTTTAGGACTGAGGAGAAATAGCGGAAGGTCTTATATTACTAACAGCAATGTCCCGTGTTTCCTGTGTCTGTGTCTTGTTTTGGTAAGGTGGTCAGAACCTTAACATGGTTATCCTTATTTGTGATCTGATTGCTTCCCAGAGACTATGTTAGGTGCTTTAAATAGATCTTTGTAACAATATTCCAGAGTAGACATTATTATTCCCACACTTTAGATGAAGAATCTGAGATTCAGGGAAACTGAAGAACATCCTGGGGCTTGTTCTCAGGTCTTCCTGAACACGGAGCTCATGTGCCTTGCTCAATTTCTTTGATAATCCAGTGTCACAGACGGGAATGCTGGAGGGGAGGGAGAGGAGATGTTTGCCCAGGAATGAGGAGTGGAAGACAGAGGACTAGATATATAAATCTCAATGTATTATGCTTAGAACGAATCCTATTGTCCATTAAATTTTATCATAATCATGCATGGTAGATAATATTATCTTCCATTTACAGGTAAGAACTTTGGCAAACACCCCCAGACATTTATATGAAACCCCAGAAAGCCATGCCCAGGAATAAAAGTACACCTGGTGTATTAGTCTTCTCTCACGCTGCTAATAAAGACATACCCAAGACTGGGTAATGTATAAAGGAAAGGGGTTTAATTGACTTACACTTTCACATAGCTGGGGAGGCCTCACAATCATGGTAGAAGGCGAATGAGGAGCAAAGTCACATCTTGCATGGAGGCAGGTAGGAGACTGTGTGCAGTGGAACTCCCCTTTATAAAACTATTAGATCTCATGAGACTTATTCACTATCACGAGAACAGCATGGGGAAGACCTGCCCCTCTTCATTCAATTACCTCCCGCTGGGTCCTTCCCATGACATCTGGGAATTGTGGGAGCTACAATTCAAGATGGGATTTGAGTGGGGACACAGCCAAACCATGTCACCTAGGGACTAAAGATGAAACCAAAGCAAACTTCCCTAAGAAAGCTGAAATCCAGGAATTGACGGGATCAAAATGACCCACTGGTATTTATCTGTCTGCTAGGAAAACACTCCACCTGGTTACAAAGAAGGCATAATTCAGATCCCCTGCACTGTGGCATCTACAATGTACATTGCACAAGAATAAATTACTAGATATGAGAAGAAGCAGGAAAAAGTGACC